ATAAATCAAAATCTGTAATTTCACCATACCTAGTGCTCTCCAAACAAGACAGAAAATGACAGTGAAGCAAATGTAGGGCCAGTTCCACTCATGATTTTCTCCAATGGTGGAAACTCCGAGGAAGATGAAGATGAGGGTGTCGCTAACGCTGCTCCACATCTTCATGAAGTACTTGACTGTGGTGTGAGATTTCAGAGAGATGTTGGCCTCCACGTAACGTTTCATGCCCATGGCGCAAGCAATGATGCTGAAAAAATGAAGCAATATTTTTTGTCTCAACTTAAGCACACAACATCAACACTGTCATTTATAAAATAAAATACAAATAAACAAACAAAACGGGCTTCATCAAGCCTTAGATGTTTGCAGACATCCCACTGGGCAGTGATTCTCTTCCTACATCAGTCTGATAACACCAGGAAAATAAGATAGTAAATAAGTTGACCAGACTGCCCAAATATGTTTTTTAACAGCCGAATAACTCACAGTCTGTTGCACTGACCGCAGCCACACGTGTAAATCAGACTCTCATGAGTTTGGCCACCATCTGGTCACTGCAGCAGATTTTTGTGGGACTGTGAATCAGTGCAAGCAGCTCAAACGCCGCCCTCCTTGAGCCAAGACACCAAAACTGAAGTTGGAGCAACTCAAGCTCATGATATCCCTCACACTGTCTTTCTAAGCGTGACCCAACTTGGGCCGTATGTTATCTGGGCACGGTGACGCAGCCATTGACTCCGTGCAACCAAGAGACGATAAAAGGCTCGAGCGCACCCGTGAGGCTGCACGATGGGCCAAGAAATGCTCCTGCTGCAGTGGGAACATTCGACCTCCTCAGGTATCGTGTAGCCGAGGTCACCTCGGAAGCGTGCAGCACCAATTAAAACGTCTGCCTTGCAATTTTTCACAGCTAATTGGTTCTTCAAGTTACAGGGTACATGTGCTGAGCCTAACTCGTCAGCTTTTTGAATCAATACGGTTTCAGGCCAGCAACCTCAGAGGGTCAAAACCATTGAGCAACGGAGTCCAAGCTCCACTTTTTTATGTCTTAACCTGGACAAAACCATTTTCTTCTAAATACTGTACCAGCAAGAGCAAAACGGCTTTACATTTCTGAGATCTGATTTCCTCTGGTTTTTGGTAAGGTCAATGAGCAAAACATTTTGGTTCAGCTGAAATTAAAGCCGGGCTTCAGGGAGAGGACTTGTTGTAAAGGCACAAGATAAGAAAGGTCCCAGGAAAGCCACAATATTCTTGCTGGGGAAAGAGATCCCGTTTTATCCAGCAGCACGAGACCAAGATTCACCTAATGCTGTTTTCAGATCACATCTTGCAGTTCCTAAAAAGATATGCCAACACTTTAAAATATTCTGAAATCGGTCTTTTTTGATTTATCCTCTTTAGACTGACCCACTTTGCATAAAGCACCAAGCCAGAAAGTAACAGCGATTGAACCACAGGCTAAAAAGAAAATAAATTCTTCTGCTGCTGTATCTGCCTCAATAGTGGATAAAATAGTTCCAGCTGGAAACTGAGAAATCCAACAAGTATTTACGGGCAAGTGACTTCCAGAGCTGTGGTTTGGAAACACTTCACTTCAGATTCACAGAGAGAGAATAAACTTGACCTGTCCTGTCACAGCTTCAAAGACGAGCGCTGCTACCTGGGCAAGGGGTGAAAAAAAATAGGAAAAAAAATCAAACTGAAAACCATTTGCAGAACTGCTTAGCAGATTGGGTTGCACTCACAATTCTTTTTTTTTTTGACTATGTAGAATTGGTGGTGTTTTTTTGGCAATCAAATTATTTTTCAGAGAAACAAAGTGCCAAGATCTGCTGCTTATAATACAGTATTCCCTGGTCACAGCTGAACGAACTGTTTGAAATCAAGATATATATAAGAGGCAGTCGTAATTTGACAATTATAAGACCAGCAGTGCAGGAATCGGCTGCCTTGGCAATTGTTTTGCTTTAGAAACAATGCATTATTCAAAAGAAGAGAAAATGGGTTCCATAATGGGTACGGTAGAAGGTGATTTATAGAAGTAGACACCATTAGGATTGAATGTTTTCTGCTCCGTGATGATTATGCAGCATATTTATTTCACTGTTCTGTCTTATGCTCCTATAAATAGGCTTTCTCCTACCTATTCCCAGAGCTAGAATTGTTTTCAGTAATGCTAGAATATTGCTCTTATTAACAATCTGAGTGAGCAAAATCCGCAAGATAGAGGAATGGTTTATATCCAAAGCAGTATCATTAGTTTTAAAATAGATCTTCCAGATACTCCTGTATCTAGCTGGCTCCTGGCTTGATTTTTTTGTTTTCTTTTTACCTTTGTTATTACTGGATTTACAGTTGTTTACACTGTGGCTATCAATGCAGTCTAAGTGCACTTTATAGCCTTTCAGGAAATATTAAATAGTTGGTTGTGACTCTTGGCGCAGCTGACTTAGTTTAGGTAGGAAAACCAAACGCAACAGCCACCAGCCCACAGAAACCAGAAGGACTGAATCGCTCTGCTTTTCATCTGTCTTTCTCTGTCTTTTTCATCTGAGCTTTCTTTGGCCATTGGGATTATTATATCTTTTTTTTTATTTCCCCAGCAGCTGCCCTGCAAGTGAAATGAACAACAAGGTAAGCACAAAGCTCAAGTACATCTCTTCAAACGGAAGGATCTAGCTCAAAATATTTTGCTCTATTGAAAGATCTACCCAGTAAAAAGAAAAAAATTGAAGTGTGTTACCTACAAACTGCAATTTGCGAAAGACTGGACTTACAAAACCAAACAGTCTCGATTCGCTGATCCAAAAAAAAGGCACGGAAATAACTGAAATGGTATCCCAGTACCTCTGGTTTTGGTACTTTCGAAACCTCGATATCTGTCAGCTTTGGCTGCCATAGGTCAAGCTGATTTCCAGCGTTACTGGAGTTACGTGACGGATGACACCCTCACTCCGGAGACCAAGCTCACGAGCTGTGTGTGAACTTGTGGTAAGCCAGAACCCCTGAAGCAGAGCTTTCCGTTACAGCCCTCCACTCCCAACCAGCCAGAACGTTTCTGGGTTTCAGCTCTGTAGGGAATACACAACTCCCACCCCACCACTCACTTTGCTCCGTCACCAGGAATTCTTGCTCAGCACATGTTTGGGGTCACCAGCCAGAGTGTGCTGGCAGGTAGGGCAGGCAGGTCAGGATCTGCCAGAACAGATGTGCTGTAAACCGAGACCAAACTTCTCTGAAGAGTCCCTTAAGACTCCTTGCAGCTCTTCAAACACTGGTTTCGACAAGGTCACACATGGAAAAATAACAAAGTACGCCAAGGAAGACTCTTTTTGGCTCTGCCAAATCTACTGGACATCTCAATACTTGAACACCAAGTGTTTCCAAAGAGAAACCATGGAGCTCAAACCTTCCTCCACAGCCTCCATAAACCCATCAGCTGTTGCAAGGTCACCCAGCGGCAGCTCTTACCACCGACATGTGATGTGTGCAACAGGGTTACCCCTCTCAGCTATTCCACAGGCTTTTATACTCACTGGTGCTCCCACACACGGATTTCAGACTCAAACTTCCTTTAAAAATTTTCTTCCTGAAAGGTTTTTAGTAAATACAGCCAGAAGGCTTTCCTGGACAGATGAGATGCCAAGACATACTTACGCCACGATGCCCGAAAGGTGAAACATCTCGGCGGTGAGGTAGGAAAGGTAGCTGTAAAAAAAAACGGTTCGATGACGCGGATATCCTTGGTGAACCGCGTGGTAAAGGCGGCCGTCATCCCAAAAGTAAGACCTACCAAAACTCCCCCTAGCCCAACCACAAAGAATTTTCCAACGCCAGCAAAAACGTCCACGCTTTTGATAGTCGGCATTTCACAGAACGATCGAAACAGCTTGTAGAGCACCTGAGTGGAAAAAAAAATGAAAACCAGCCCTTAACAAGATATTGTCCAGATGTGGTCACACCACAGAATCATAGAATGTGTTGGGTTGGAAGGGACTTTTAAAGGTCATCTAGGCCAACTCCCCTGCAGTGAGCAGCGACATCTTTAACTAGATCAGGTTGCTCAGAGCCCCATCAAGCCTGACCTTGAATGTCTCAAGGGATGAGGCTTCTACCACCTCGCTGGGAAACCTGTTTTGGTGTTTCACCACCCACATTGTAAAAAATTTCTTCCTTGCATCTCGTTTAAGTCCCCTTGACCTATCACAACAGATCGTCCCCATATGTAATGGTGTGGGGACCAGGAGTCCTCTATGAGAAGCAGCTGTTGATGACTTTTCCCTCTGCCAATCTCACGCCCCACCCCCCAGCAGCAGCCCATCTGTCCTCTGAGCATTAAATACTCAAAACGCAGACTAGCCCTTACCACCGTCACCGCGTCGTTCAGGAGCGATTCACCAAAGACCAGAATGTGGAGCTTTTCATTGACGTGTATCTCTTCGAACACCGCCAGCACCGCCACGGGATCCACGGCGGCGATCAAGCTGCCGAAGAGGAGGTTGTGGAGCAACGAAACGTCCTGCAGGCGAAAGGCTTTCACCTGGCAGATACCGTAGAGCGAGAAGCCGATCCCAAACACGTTCCAGATCGTCCCCACGACTGCGTAGAGGAGGATGGTGCCGATGTTCTCAAAAAAGGGACGGCTGGGCATGAAGTAACCGGCGTCAAGGACGATGGGTGGCAGGAGGTAGAGGAAAAAGATGTCGGTGTCCATGACGGGAGGTGACCTGTCGTTTAAGCCGTAGATGATTCCCCCCATGATGAGTCCCACAAATATCAGCAAGCAGCTTTCGGGAACGACAGAAGGCAGCTTGTTGTAGAGATGAAACGCTGGGAGGGGATGGATAGAGGAAAAAAAAACCACAATGTGTTATCTCACCAGTCAAAATTGGCTAAAAAAGCACCAACCAGCTCACTGGTGGGGTGAGGAAACTCCTTGTGCTCCCACCACCTTCAGCAGCCTGAGCTTTGGAGTAGCAGTAATAAATGCACACAATTAAGATGTAGTTGCCCAATAAGAAATTGGCTGGAAAACCTGAAAGGTTACTAAAAATACTAAACTGTCTAAAATCAGTGTTGGTTCAGACTGCAGCCCATCATGGTATAAGGTTAAAGGCATATTTTTAGGTGATAATGGAAAAAAACTAAATAAACTGCATAAAAGTATTTGGAATTATTGACAGCGTAATCTAGTTAGCATGACATCTTCAGCACTAATCTAAATAGCAACGGCTAATTTTAAATGCGATACAGATTCTATAGATTAAAAAAATTAAAATAGCATTCTCATTAATTATAAATGGTGCTGCTTTTAACAGTATTTAATCACTAACACTTAAAACTAAAGGTAACGTGGAAAAACTCCAGTCAAGCCAGCCTTGTGTTAGAGAAGTACTGACAACTGCTCAGAGTACTCTAGGTGAGTTATTAGAAGAAAGTAATTGAAACAAACTAAATTGAAATAGGAATGACATTTTTTTTAAAAAAAAAACGTGATCATTGTCATTTCTTCATGCTTGTTAACAGAGCTGACATCTCACCATCTAATATGCAGAACAGCACAATGAAAAGGTCATTTCCATTCAAAAGCCGTTCTGATCTAAGTGAGTCTCTCAGACTTCTCCTTTCCAAGGAAAAAATACGCTGTAAAATAACATTTATAGCAGCAATTTAACAGAAGTGATAACAGTTCCTGGAGAAAAAAAAAAAAAAAAAAAAAAAAGAAACCCCACAACAAACCACAAACATAATTTCCACTTTCTTATTCCCGCTTTCGTGGAGAAAAAAAAAAAGGAATATAGGTCCAAGTTATACAAAATACAATGTTTTAGGTGGAACAAAAGGCTGGTTTTTAACCCCTGCACACAGAATGAATTATTCCTTGGAGCTGCACTGTTTAAGGCCAAGGAGCCTTCATTTTAAGATGAAGACGTCAACGGACGACTTGCGTGTAGTTTTCCAGCTAACGGAGACGAAAGCCCAGCTCGGTGCATGCCGCAATGAAATAAAATTCCTGGAAACTCTCATAGTTTCACTACTAACAGCAACGCCACGCACAGGGGTGAACTTCTAGAGGCAAAAATCATCGTTTCAACCTAAAACGCAACATTTTTTCCCCACATGTGCAGTACGTAGGGCACACAAGTTGTGCATCCTTAGGACTTGGCAGGGAGGCTCCAAGATTGCCGAAGAGGTGAAGCAAAGGCCAGCCCTGCCCACGCCATCCCCCGCTCACCCTCTCCAGGTGCCTTACCTATTTTGGCCAAGGACGCGAGCATGATCCAGAGCGTGATCTCAAAGGGCACTTGGACGTGCTGATAATCCAGCGAGAAAAACGCGTGCTCTGAGGATTCGTTGCCCTGCGCTTCCTCGGCGGCCCAGCTGATGTTCTCCGGGATCACATCCTCCAGCAGCCCTGGGGAGTCCTGCAGGGCTCCGACCCCAGCGGCTTGGAGGACGGAGGAGAGCAAGGACCCAGCGAGGACAGCAGCTGCAGCTCTGCACCCTGGCTTCTGCCCTTCCATTTGTCCTGGGAGCCGTCCACCCCGGGGATTTGGCCACTGGCTGCTGCCGGTCGGTGGCTCCTGTGGGCGAGTGGTCAAGAGAGCTGCTGGAGACTCCTGGAGCTCAGCTCAGCCTCGTCATTGTGGGTTGCCACAAAGAGAGCAGCAAGCGCTCCGCCTCCCCACTGACTCTTCTCCCTGATCTATCAATTTCCAGCCAGGAGAATCGCACCCTTCGGAACCACACGCCCAGATGGGCAGAAGTTCCTCCTACAGACACTGCCTTGAAGAAACGTTTTGTGCACCCTTAGACACAACCGCACGTCTGTGTGCTTGAGAAGCTGCATTTTCATCCGAATTCCTGATATATTTGGGCTTCCAGGCTCTCAGAAACCCTTCTTGGAGGAAGAGTTAAAAAAATATAAAGAACTCCACAACTCCTCGCTCTTGCTAGAGCAGCCCAGCTTTGATGGAGCAGTTGTCCCATAAAACAGCCCCATCCAGAAACATATCGCACTGGGCTTTCCTGGATTTCTCCAGCGCTCACAGAGAGAACACATGGAAGTAATTTTACTGATAATCACAGTTTCCATCTGGCAAATCAAGCCAAGCACTCAGCTTTCTTACACTAACTACGGCATCACCCATCACAGACCAGTAAGTTCCAACAATTACCTCGAGCTTCTGCCAATAATAAGGGCCAGCAGGAAAAAGTTATCTTCCTCTCTTTTCACCGATTGAAAACGGCATCGAAAAGGGAGCAAGCTTGCGTAGAAAAGTTGGAGAGATGGAAAGATCCAAAGTTATTTGCAACAGTGTCAGAAATATTAATGAGATGGATGGAAAAAAAACAATATATTGGGCCCAGTTGCTCCTTGGTGGAGTTTCATTTAAGCTGATGTTTCAACAGGGATGAAGTCGGTGCAAAGAACAAACGTAATTAAAATACGGAGGCCCCGGGCTGTTGCTAGACTGATCGATGGCCTGTTTGTTTCTCTTCAGCTGCCTAAATGACACCAGAATTGAGCTGCCAGTAACGAGCTGGTGACCCACTTTTCCACCGCGGAATGAGAACCCAGCCTCACGCAGACACAGATCCTGGGTTTCGCAGCACCACGAGCTCCCCGTTTCCGACCTGATTTGTAAAGTAGGAGGAGGATAAACTTTGGGAAGTGGAGGAAATGTAGCCAGTACACTCCAGGAGAACTTCTTTCCACTTTGCCATGATTAATTTGAATTTATTGTGCACCTTTACCACGCGCTGTCTTTAAAGTCAAGCAAAACTCCTCTCATTTGAGTAGTCTTCTAGCAAACGAAGCTTTTTAAACTTGGTGCCACTTCTCCCCACTTTGTGCATTTAAAACCAAACAAAACTGCAGGACTTGGAGAAGAGCAAGCCCAGGAGGTTTTCCTCCAGCTTTGTTCCATAGCTCAGTTCCATAGGGTCTGGGATGGGGAGGAGAAGAAGAGGCAAGGAGCTGGGATCCCTTGTTATTTGGAAAAAGGGAGGATACAGTGCTCTTAACAGCAGTTAAGAAGTAATTAAGAAATTATTCAGCCAGAGTTAAGATCAGTTCCGAGCCTGGGCTCTCATGTCAAGCCATCATATTCGCTCTTTTCGCCAAAACACTCGGTTCCGAATTTGGGAATTTGAAGACTTGCTCCATTCGGTGTCATGGAAAAGGAGTTTTGCCAACCTCCCGTTCCCCCACCTCAAATGACCCATTTTGATTTTTGCTGTTCTCGGGGGGAGGTAGGGAAA